TATATATATATATATATATATATATATATATATATGAAAAAATCCCAAACAGTTCAGTTTTTACAATCGAGCAGACGATACATTCTCTTTGTTTATTCTCCACGGTTGAACTACAAACGACGACATCTTCGCATATCCGCACCATTGGACAACAAACTACGATATTTTTCTATTCGCTAAATACATTTCCCGTAACATATTCCCAACTCAACGACCTATCAACTAATCCACAGTTTAAAGGAGAAAATTATTGTCCAAGGCAACGACAAGGAGTTTGTTAGTTGATCATACTGCTTGCTTTTTGTATAACTCATCATTGTATACCAATCCATCGTGTAATATATATTATACCCTTTTTCTTGTTGTTAACTAGTAATATTGTCCAAAAACAATATTACATCCCGAACAGATCTGTATCGCCGAGAAACGAGTTCAACAGAAAAACAATTTCCCAACAGGTAGCAGTATATTATACAGCATAGTAGTCACTGCCACTGCCACGATCTAATTAATGACTTTCAAATTTTTCCAACTTGTTGACTTACAGTCTTCTTTGTTTGCCTGTTTATTCATAATTGACTGACTTCTTCTAATTTATTTCGGTAAGCAAGTAAACAAAAATCCTGATGCGCAGCCTTTACTATCACGTTTCGATACCTGCAATTAATCAATTTTTTTGAAATTTGTGAAACGGGATTTCCAGCAATCGTTCCATTGTTTCTTGGCATTAGTCTAGCATGAAATCAACTTTAATCATTTGAACTAACCACATATGTACAACGACATCTGCCATCGGCTGAAATGCCAGGCTGTTGCAAAATACATCTTTTGTCGGTAACTGATGAGGGTCGACCATCGTTTTTAGGTGTTAGTACTTTGCAGTTAAATGTTGGGCCTAAAAATGTAATCATTCTCTACAATCGATGAACTTACCTCAAGATATGGAAATTGTTATGGCTCTTGTGGACTACAAATTACAGATTACGTTCTTTCGGATATGGTTTATGAATCACTTTTTTGAATTATATAGCTTAACAAACACTTTTCTATTTTAAGATCAACACAGCTTCAATTCATTTCATGATGCTCAATAATTGAAATGAAAGAAATTGAAATATTCCAAACCTAAGTATGGGCCATTACCGGTATGTATAATTAATGGCTTAGTTGGCACACGCGACTGAATGGATCGAGTAGCAGTATTAATGCTGGTGTTTCTTTTACTACTAAATTGCTTCACTAGTTGAGATCCTGTAGCTGCTCCATCCAAGAATGAACGCGATTCGAATAAATGCCTTTTGAAACCGTTCAGCCTATACATATATAAATATTTTTTAGACTTTTAAATCACCTTCAGTTACTTACAGTAATTTACATACAAAATTAATACCAAAAAGTTCGAATTTTATTCAACTAATTAGGCACTCTAACAAGGCTAATTAATTACGGAAGAAGAGGAAAACAATGGAGAAATATATGATTATGTGTGGATGATGTTGGATATTTGTGTTCAAAGATTTTCAAGGAAATGTAAATAAAATTTTCGACCAGTTTTTAGCGTTCAGAATTACAACAAAATAAATCCAAATATCAATACAATAGATTTCAGAAATTTCCCGATCTCATGCCTTATCCAGTTACCACCTTATTAATCTATGGTATTTCTTTACCATGTATTGTCATGATACAATAAGCTCATCCTAATAAACCGGATTAACCACACAAAGAAATCTATCGACTTCTTAAAGTTTGCAGAAAAGTTTGTCCAAAACCTTTTTTTTCTTTTTGTACAGTGCTAGTAATCAGAACAAAAGATCGGTCAAATATTTGAATCTGCGCGTACAATCCCTGGAAGATCCGAAGATCTCATTCTGACGCAATCTACCAAGCAGTAGTCGGTAATACTAAGGATTTGCGATTTGTTTTGTTATTTATATACACAATGCGAAGTTGATGAAAGTTAATAAAGTTAATAAAAGCATGGGATTGAAGCTTCATTTAAATAAGGCCATTGTTATCATTATTATTTATTGCGCAACTTTATAGTGCAATTAACAACATGAACCAGAACATGCAAAAATCATTTTCATGCAACAGAAAGGAAGTGAGGAAAGTACCGTGTCGAAATTTTCATTTTGCGACAAAAGTGGGGAGTAAAACTCCAAAACCCAATTTTCCAACTGACTAAACCTCAGTAGTACTTTTGACTTATGTCTTACACCTCACTACTGCAGTCGAACATCAATTGATCTATGTAATTTTTCATCGGTATATTCGATAAACTTTTCGAATATATCTCCAAGACAAAACAGTGCCGAGAGGAGTTCAAACAACTGTGATTTTGCCTTTCCAGCATTTAGTTAATCAACCATCTTGGTGTTCACAAGGCAAAAATGCTTCATTTTTCTAAAACAGGAAAGATGATATTTGTTTATTGCCGCTGCTGCCGCTGCAGTTATGTCCAATTCAAACTATTGAATGCAGTATATTTGCTGATGTCAGCCCATTACCACTTCTTAACAATATAATTGTGATTGCTGATTGATAATTGTAAGCTAATAATTATCAACAAAGGTGAAATGACTGCCCAATATTCAGCTTTCGTTGCTGCTCTCGTTGCCGTTGCTGCCGCCGTTGCCG